AAGGAAGAAATTATCAACTCCTTTCATGACCATTTGGAATTGTATGGTAGGACTCTCCACCAGATGGATTCTGGTCCTACTCCCTCTACCTCTTTTGCGTCTACATCAGGTAACGTTGCCACTGCCTTCCATGTTTGGGGTAGTTATAGTGTTTCCAAAGTTGTTTGAGTCCTTGTCAATGAGTTAGTTATAGTGTCAAACATGTCAATTGAGTAAACATTGTAGAAGTTCTTTACCTTTGAGAAATAAAATATTTGAATTTTCATTTCATATTGTTTATTCTGATGTTTGGGGCCCTGTTACTCTACCCACTAAGGCTGGATATAAGTACTCAATTACCTTGATTGATGAATACTCTAGATACACTTGGGTATACCCTATGCGATCTAGAGATGAAGTGCCAAAATTTGTAAAAGACTTTTAACACATGGTGTTCACTCAGCTCCAAACTGAAATCCATATCTTCTAGTCAGACAATGTGAAGGAATACTTCCATAGTGATCTCACAGAGTTTTTTGCTTCGAGTGGGTCACTTCAACGAAGCACTTGTGCCAAGACACCCCAACAAAATGGTGTTGCTGAACAAAAGAACCGCCACCTTCTCGAAGTAGCTCGTGGCTTATTAATTCATATGAATGTGCCAAAACGTTTTTGGATGGATGCAGTTTTGTATGCTACATACATCATCAACCGTATGCCATCTTGGTTACTAGAGTATAAGGCCCCACATCAGCTTTTGTTTCCTACAGCTCCGTTGTCCACCATTCCGATGCGTGTTTTTGGGTGTCATTGCTTTGTCCATAACTTGTCCCCTACTCGAGGTAAGCTTGATCTTCGGGCTATTCCTTGTGTTTTCCTTGGTTACCCTTTATCTCAAAAGAGGTATCGTTGTTATGGTCTAACCTCTTGCAAGTACTATGTCTCCATTGATGTATCCTTCTTTGAGAATCAACATTTCTTCTCGGTTTCTCCTCACGGGGAGAGTAGGGTTGAGGAGAACAGGTGGCTCAAACTCAACTACCTCCTTTACCCGATCCTCCTCCATTCCGGGTCTTTCATCATCGCCATAAAAGCCAGTAGAGTTTAAGAGCCGTGGAACTTGACACTATGCAACCAACATCATCGGATTCACCAGAGGCAGATCCGTCTCATCAGCCAAGTACACTTGCTCCTATTGATATGCCCGTTCCTCTCAATGTTGATTCCCCTGTCATCAATGATCTTGATGTTCCTATTGCTAAGAGAAAGGGTGTTAGATTTTGTACCAATGATCATCCTATCTCCAATTTTGTGTCCTATGATCACATTTCACCTTCATTCTGTGCATTCCTCTCTTCTGTGGATAGTGTCTCCGTTCCTAAGAATGTGGCAGAAGCTTTATCTAAAACTTAATGAACAGATATAATGCAAGAAGAAATTGATGCATTACACAAAAATGGCACTTAGGAGTTGGTGGATCTTCCTGAAGGGAAGGAACCAGTGGGTTGCAAGTGGGTGTTCACAGTGAAACACAAGTCTGATGGAACTGTTGAAAGGTACAAGGCTAGACTGGTAGCAAGAGTATTTACACAAGTATATGGAGTGGATTATGCAGAGACTTTTGCTCTAGTAGCCAAGATGAACTCTATCAGGATTCTTCTTTCATTGGCAGCAAATCTTGAATGGGAACTTTACCAATTGGACATAAAAAATGCTTTATTGAATAGTGACTTGGAAGAGGAAGTGTACATAACCCAACCTCTAGGTTTTTGTGCCAAAGGCAGTGATTAAAAGGTGTGCAAGTTAAAAAAATCTTTATATGGGTTGAAACAATCACCTCGGCCTTGGTTTAGTAAGTTTCACTTAGCAGTTCAACAAATGGGTTCAAACAATGCCAGTCAGATCACACTCTTTGTGAAAAGAGGTGAAGGAAAAATTGCATCTCTAATTGTGTATGTGAATGACATAGTGATCACAGGAGATTGGGAGACTGAAATACGAAGACTAAAAAAATTCTTAGCCACTCAATTTGAGGTGAAAGATCTAGGCCCCTTACGTTATTTCCTTGGAATCGAAGTTGCCCGCTCTCACAAGGGCATATTTATTTCCCAAYGGAAATATGTACTAGATCTACTAGAAGATACAAGCAAGTTGGGGGTAAAACCAATTGACTCACCAATTGAATCTAATCATYADYTRGGAGACAGTCAGGGAGAGTTTTTGAAAGATGTGAAGAAGTTCCAGAGACTCGTAGGGAGACTCTTGTATTTGTCTATGACCAGGCCTGATATTGCTTATGCAGT